CCACACAGAAATGAAGAGAGATGGAAATGTCAGAGAAAGAGACATAGAGAAAGGCAGACATGGGAAAAGGCAGAGAGAAGCAACCGAAGGTAAATACAGAGAGACAAGCAGATGAGGGAGGCAGGAACAGAGAAAAACACAGAAAGACAAAATGACAGAAGCAGAGAGAAATAAAGAGGGAGAAAAGCCGGACTGAAGGAGGGAAGGGAGGAAGGGAGGGAGGGAGGAGAAAAGGAGGGAAGGTGGGGACACACAAAGTTACAGTCTGACAAGGCCAGGTGGTGAGAGAGACAGAGACTCACATATCTACCCCCGTGGCAATAAGAGGAACATGAGGCTACCTCACCGGGGGGTGAGGGTGGGGGCGGGGGCAGGAAGGTTAGCACCACCTTAGCCCTTTATCCTTTTCCTCTCAGAGCGGCCTTAAAGCTCTTCAGCACTTGCCAGGGAAGCTATTTGATTCCCTCCTCCTCCCCCAACCGGCTCTTTTTCCTGGTGGTCGCACTCTGGGCTCCCTCCCCGCCATGCTCAGCCTCCAGTTGGGCAGTGTGCAGGGTAAGGCCCCAGGGAGCCTGCACAGGTGACGTTCCGGTGACCAGGGCGCCTGTGCCCGCTGTCCCGGGGCGCAGAGTCTAATGGCCGTCTCCCTCCTCGTACCAAGGCCTTCTCTAGCATCAGGCGAGTAGTAGCTGCTCAATAAACATTTGCTAATAATATGGTGTCCCTCTGATGATGTCTAAAATGGCTCCTAAGTTCAGATTTCATTAATATGAATTTAATTCAGTTCCACTGAAATGTATTGAGTGGCTGTCGTGCTGAAGCACAGCATTGCTACATTACTTAAAGTATTAAGCATATACTGTGGGATGTTCTGCAGAAATGTTCCTCAGGCCCAGCTCGCGCCCCAGGCCCATGGGCACCGCATCGAGGCTGCACTGCCCAGCAGTGCTCCAGAAAGCCCATTCTCCACAGGAATCTCCTGTCAGGGCATCTACAGTCCTTGTCCCTACTGACAACGGCCCTTTGCTTGTTCTTGATTAAAATAGCGGCCTGTGGACTAGGGGCGCTGAATTTTAAAAAGGGGCCATCCCTGGTAAAAGTAAAGGCATTCGCAATATGTGGATTAGCTCAACATATCTTAGAGACACTCACGACCCTTCTGTGAATTTCTGAGACCGCCCAGGGTAGTCCGCACTCTATCTACAGAGGGGTTTTCCCAGGCTAAAACTGCTCCTTGGTCCCAAGCCAACATGAACTCTGGAAGGTTCTGTCTGCTTGACGCTGTCAGGGAGTGGGTCAGTATGCTGACTATGGAAACCTACGGTCTGTCTCCGGTGACCTGTCGTGCAAGCAGTTTGGAGCACCTGTCCAACCACAGAGCCAGGACTTCCCAAGCTGGCAAGACAGTTTATGTTGTGCTTCTTTGATAAAGAATAATTTAGTTAACAAGTGTTTATAGGTGTGGCAGAGTTTGGTCTGAAATTCACTTTCACTGTAATGTGGTGAGCAGACCTGTTATTCTCAGCATTTCAATATCCTAGGGGGGCAATAAATAGAACCAGGGCTTTTTGGAGAAATGGCTTTCTACAGTTGGGATGGAAACGTAAAAGATGACCTGGAATATCTTGTTAAGCCAAAAATTTCTGAAGTGCTCGAAAAAAATGATGAGCATGTCAGGAGGACACAAAAGGACTTTCACCTCCAGGAAGATGGAGTCAACCTACTTTTCCCAATTGATCTCACTCCATATCAATAAAACCCTGCACATTTTGCATACAGCAAACAACAGGCAATGCTGAAAGGTGGCGAGAAGACTAAGACGGGACCTTGGGACCTGGGAACGGCACAGCGATGACAGCCCTCGGTTTCTCTTTGCCTTCCACATCCCCGGCCGGTGCCAGGAGGGCTGGCGACTCAGAAATGCTAAGGGAGCAACAAAAGAAGCCCCAACGAAGCCGCTCGTTCTACCCAAAAGCACAGGGAGCACTTTTTTATGTATTGTAACACTGTGCAGTGTAGTTCTAAAAGTAAGTAGGAAAATATTTATGGTAACTATTTTATGAACAGGGGAGGGCAAGGGCATGTAAAGTGAGGTAGAATTTCTGTGTGTCACTTGAACTAGTGATTTGACAATAACAGTAGACTATGATAAGTTATATCCATAATGTAATGCCAAGAGCAATCACTAGAAAGACTATACAAAGAGATACTCTCAAAAACACTATAGATAAGTCAAAACGGAATTCTGAAAATTGTCCAAGTTACCTGCAGAAAGGCAGGAAAAACAAAAAAGAAAAAAAGAAAAAAGAGAGAACAAAGAGAAAACAAAAAATAAAATGGAAGAGGTATGCCCTAACATATAATTACATGACTTGTAGATTATCTAAATACACAAATAAAAACAAAGATTGGCAATGTCGATTAAAGAACCTGACTCAATTATATGCCGTCTACAAGAAACAAACTTCACATGTATATATCATGTTATCGCTGATCAAAGAAAGCAGGGATGGCTATGTTAATATCAGATAAAGCACATTTTTTAACAAACAAAATTACCAGGGACAAAGAACCAGGCAGCAAATATTTTTAGCTTTTCTGGCTCTATGGTCTGTCACAACTACTCAGATCCACCATTATAGCATGAAAATAACCATCAACAATACCTAAACAAATGACTGTGGCTGTATTCAATAAAAGTTTAGCTATGGAGAATAAAATTTGAATTTCACGAAATTATCATGTGTCACAAAAAAAAATTACCAGGTACAAAGAAGTACATTATAAAATGATAGAAAGGTCAATCCACCAAAAGACAGAGCAATGATAAATATGTATATACCAAACAAGAGAGCTGTAAAATATGTGAAGCCAGAACTAAGAATAGTAAAAAGAGAAATCAATAAATCCAAGATTATAACTGAAGACACAAACACTTCTTTCTCAACAATCTATAGAACAACTGGGGAAAAGATCAGCAAGGATATAGAAGAATTCAATAACACCATCAACCAAAAGGACCTAAACAATATTTATAAAATACTTCACTCAACAGCAACAAAACACACGTTTGGTTCAAGTGTCGACAGGACAGACACCAAGAAAGACCACATCCTGGGCCAGAAGAAGTGAAATCATACAGAATGTATCATCTGACCACAATAAAATCAAACTAGAAATAAAAAAAAGGAAGCTAATGGGAAAATCTACAAATACTAGGGAACTAAACAACATACTCCTAAATAATCCACGGGTGGGTCAAAGAGGACATCGCCAAGAGAAAAAAAATACATGAAGCTAAATAAAAATTAAAACGCAACATATCAAAATTTGTGGCACACAGCTAAAGCTGTCCTGGAAGGGAAAGTTGTAGCACTAAATGCTTACATTTGAAAAGAGGAAGATTCTCATCAATAATCTAAGCTACCACCTCTTAAACCTAAAATAAGGAAAAATAAGCTCAAAGCAAGGAAAAGGAAGGAAATAATAAAGAGCAGAGCCAAAATCAATAAAATTAAAAATAGAACAACAGAAAAATCAATGAAACAAATGCTGGTTCTTTAAAAACATCAATAAAATTGGCAAGCCTATATCATGGTAGACAAGTAATTAAATAAGAGAGAAAACACAAATAACCAATATCAGGTAACAAAAGAGGGGATATCATTTTGGACTCTGAAGACATCAAAAGAATAGTAAGATCACACTATGAACAACTCTATACACACACATTTGACCACTTAGGTGAAATGAGCCAATTCCTAGAGAAGCCCAACTCACAATACAAAATAGATATTTTAAATATCCCTATAACTATTAAGAAAATTGAGTTCAAAATTTTAAAACTCCTCAAATCAAAATCTAAAGGCTGGGATGATTTCAATGAAGAAGTCTATCAAATGTTTAGAGAGCTAACACCAATTCTACACAATCTCTTCTAAAAGACAGAAACACTTCTAAATTCATTTTATGAAGGTAGGATTTCCCTCATACAGAAGCCAGACAAAAACAACACCAAAAAAACCCAAACATAACTACAGACCATATCCATCATGAATATAGAAGCCAAAATCCATAGCAGAATATTAGCAAATAGAATTCAGCAATATAAAAAATAATTATATGCCATCCAGAGATGTAAGGCTGACTCAATATTTAAAAATCAATTAGTATAATCCATCTCATTAGAATGTAAAGAAGAAAAATCAGAGGGTCATTGCAATTGATGTAGAAAATGGCAAATTGATATATATTACAAAATTCAATACACGTTCATGATAAAAACTCAAAAATCTTTGAATGGGGGAAACTTCCAGGATGGCAGTGAGTAAACAGAGAGCTTGCGGGGAGCAGGCAGAGAACACAGACTACCGTAACATGTTACCAACCATTACAGGTGCTTTTCCAGCTGAGCATGAGTCCAGCCCCTCCTCATTCCCAGGCTTCCCTTCTCCAAACTGTCTATCCTCGGCTCATTTACCTCTGACTGGCCCAGGAGGTCCTGTCCTTTTCAGAACCTTCTGGGCCAGCAAAGCCCCACTGGAAGGAAAGGCCTCCTACCCACAGGAAGCGGTACATCTGTGTCTGAGGCAATACAGTCAAGGTGCTCCACGTGGTCTACACACAAGACTAGACTTTCACATGAACCTTGGATGTTCCAGATGGGTTATTACATTTCTCTCTTTACTTTGTTAATGTTTCTGTCTGTAATAAGCAAACATGGAGGTTTTCATTCATTTTTTAAAAGGACACTATCGTTGAAGGGTAGTTCTTTTGGGGTTTCCATTTTCATTTAATAAATTTGGTAAGACTCATGCTTCTCCCATTTTTAGTAGGAAGGAAAAAGAATGTGTTTCAAATTTACTAGAAAGTTATTTGAAGATGTGGCTGAAATTTAAATCAACAAGACAAAAACGTGGTTCTGTTTGGACAAGGAGACGTGTTCACTTAGCGACCCCAATGGCCTGTTTTCCTTCCACTGTCCCCCATTCCCGACTTACCTCGGAGGCGATGGAGGTGAAACTGCCGCTGAAGTGCACGTGCTTGTGGATCTCGCTGCCGTTGGCCCTCAGGAGCCAGGCCCCCAGGGCCCGGTCGTCACCAGCCCTCTGGCCGCCGTGGCTCTGATTGGGCAGGAGCCCTGCCAGGTCCCAGTGGTATGACGGCGTGGCACCGACCAGCGCAATGAGGATAGCTTCTGTGGCCACATAGAGCTGGAGGGGCAAACACACAAAACCATCTGCACTGGGAACGCAATCCGTAAGCTTACAAACCTTGCAAGACCGGTTTCTTGCTTTTGTGTGTTTATGGGCTACAGAAACGAGACATAGCAGAAACAAAGGAGAAAAATGTGAAAAGGAAGCTTCGTAACCTACTACTAATGAAGCCAATCCCACTTGTAAAACACCTGATATCTTTGCCAAGCATTTTCCTCTTACACGTGAGATACATCTGATGCTGAGGACACTGCACATAGATGGTTCCACACTGAGTGGGTGGAAGGGGAAACATTACTGGCTGAGATTTAGAAGATTAACAGTCCAACTGTTTTCTCCTCAACACTATACCCTAAGTTCAGATAAGCATGCACCAGCGTTCAGGAGTATCTTGGCCTTGAATTCACGATTTAAACAAGAAGACCCTTTATAGCATAGTAAATGTCTTGGAAAGCAGTACACACACACCCCACACACACGTACATATGAAGTACATATATGAGAAAGAGTGAACACATGAGCGAGAGTGCTTTATTAAAGCAGGAAAGTATAATATGTCCTTGACTAGGGGATATTTAAAATGCAGTATACAATGCACAATACAATGTAAAGAAATTCAAAATTCCGGGAACAGATATTCAATTTATAACCTTTGGCTGTACTTACCCATTGTTTAATCTACACATAGTTGTCTCCCCAAAGGAAAAAATATTTCACTCACTCATGTAAGACATTTATCGAGCACACATGCCATTTGTCTCTGGCTATTCTGGGCTCTTCAGTGACTCACAATAGGGCTCACAAGCTCTTGAGCCCAATATAGCCTTTTTATGCTATGCATTTCCATGTATATCTGCTCTCATTGTTGGATGGTTATTTCAAGCTGAATCTGTATTAAGCAAACGGATCAGCCTTCTCCAAAGTGAGAAATTGTTATTTTAAGAAATTATCCCTATTACCTTAGAACTTGATGTCTTAAAATACCTTTAAACAGAGCAAGGGTCTAAAACCAACAAAGCACGTGGTTGCAACACAGAGTAACACCCCCACCAGGTGGGCGTGTGGACTGAGGCACATGAAGGTGGACAGACCTGCCAACCAGTTCATCTCCACTCCTCAGCACCCCTCCCCGCCTCCAGTGCCTTCCACACCGTTTTGTAGGGGCACACTAGGCTGTTCAACGGATACGCGAAAGCACCAAAAGCCCAGTGATTTATCACAAGTAGATGATGGAATTACTGTCAGGGCAGAGTAAAGAAGTCATGACATTATGTGTGTCATAACAGAAAGCTAACGTAAAACTGAAGGTGTGATTTCTCCCCGCTCTCGGTGGGCTGCGGGGTACAAGGCAGCCCCAATCTATTTTGCACAGAATGACTGTGGGTCTCTCGAGATGTGCAAAGCTGCCACAGGTCAGCCTGCGTTGGTGATTTATTGTAAAGTGCAAAGGAAAAGGCGTTTCTAGATTTATACTGTTTCCTTGCCCCTATTTGCATACTATTAAGGAAGTTTTCGAACAGGAGGCGATCAGCTTGTAAAAATAGAAAGCTTAATAATTACAACAGAGAGATGATACATTTAGCAGCAGCTATAATTATAAAGCTACTTGAGCCGGTTTCAGTCACTGCCCCTCCTGATTATAATCTGCTGAAATGTAATTGATGGGTAAAGAAATGAAAAAAAAAATGGGGCAAGGAAACTCAGGAAATGATGCAAAACTGTGTTCTGGTAAATGCACAGCCTTCAACCCAGCAAGGCCAGTGAAGCTATATTTTCTCTCCAGATTTGCTCCTTTCTGCTTTTGGTCCCAGTCACTTCCCTGGAGAGCACTTCCTCCTGCTATGGACGTCTCAGCCTTTCCCATCCTCTAAGACGCAACTCCGATACCGCCTCCTGCCACCCCGCCTTCCTCTCCTGGTTCTCCAGAAGCCCCCTTCTGCTTCTGCTCACCCCGCAAAAGCTCTATCTAGACCTTTCTTAGAGCCCTATCATATTCTTCATTGCCTTATGTGTATGCATTTGTTTGTTTCTCTTTCCTATTGGAATATGCTCTCCCTGAGGGCAGGATCTCCAGCTGATTCACCTTTGGGCTCCCAAAGCAAATAACTCAGCGCCCGGATACATGACATCACACACTCAACAAGTGAATGAATGAATAAATGACCAGGACGGAACACTGACAATAACAGTGAGCCCTTCCCCAATGCCAACTACAGGCCAGGCACTGCCCTAAGTGCTTGTTGGAAACATATTAACATTGTATTTTTATCTGGATTGTTCCAGGTTAAGTGATGTTCTAGGTAAAAGAGAGAATGCTCCCAAGGGTCTTCACATCTAAGCCGTGTTTCACCGTGGAGGCTGCCATTCTTGGCAGCAACCACGATGCGTAGAAGGCAGTCGGAAAACAAAGAGGTGGTGGTGATACATACTGACTCATGCTGCAGGGACAGGGAAACCTAGCGAGTCAGTGTTGTCTGCATTAATCAGTCGCGTTCCCAGCAGTCTATAGGCTGAGAAAGGACTTCCCACCTTTCCCATCTTCTCTACCCTCCACCACCCCTCAGAAGGTTCCCTCTGCCCACCCCCATGCACACACAAGCATGCACACATGCACCCCCTCAACTGAACACACAGGGCCATGGCCTCATGTCACCAGAAGCATCAGAAACACGCAGCTCATCTATGCAGTGCAGCCTCCACAAAACGGCCCCAGCCTCCATGTCTTCTCTGACACGCGTGGCCAGCCTTGGTTTTGCTAAAGAAATGGGAGAGGGAGGAGGCAGGCGGCTCCGATACCGTGTGACAGACGCTATGGAAGGGGCGCCATGACGATGAGGTGAAAGGCGATGCTTGGACTTTGCACGGAGATTACTGTTAGGTTCTCTACCCTAGAGCCGCACACATGGGTCCTGTGGTCACACAAAGTCAGAAGTTTAGCACGTATCCAGTCATGGGGATGCTCCACCTGTGAATGGAACACAGGGCAGGTTTTCCTCTTCTTTCTCTGTCCTAGAGCTCACAACCTGCTTCTTTCCCCAGAGCACAAATCTCGTCTCACTCTCCGCCACTTCTGCTCTACAACTACCAGGCACACATGCGCCCGCATATTCTTGTCTAATGAATCGCACCCATCAGCAGACGGGCCTTCAAGGCACAATGAGAAACCACCATCCATTCTCCTTCGGAGTGGGACGAACAGCACCTCAAATAAATCATTATCTTCTCTAGTGCCACCCCCAGGGAAGGAGAGCAAGAGCCACAGATGGCTGGGGCTTTGTTCCCTCTCCATATAATTATAATTAGAAAAGTGACTAAAATGCACTAGGGGATTGAAATTTTTAAAAGTTTCAAAAAGTGAAGGTTTGAAAAGTAATTTTATGTTTAACAGCATTATAAGCTTTTATAATACTCAGGAAACCAAAAACATCTCCCTAATTATCTCATCACAATATCTCGTCTATGAAGTCATGGTAAGTAGGATGTCTACGTTGTAAGCAAGAAAAATGAGCTACAGAGTGATCAGTGACTCATTCAAGGTTATTGATAGCACTAAGCAAAACCAGGATGAGGCTGGGAGCCACCTAACTTTGGGGCCAGATTTTTTTTCAGAGAAAAAAAAAAAACAGGAACAATCAAAGATGGTTTTATTTTTGTCATTATTGTTAGCTTTTCGTGCATCTGGTACTCAATTATCTAATTGACTAAACCAAAACCATTATATGAGTCAGACCAAATGCTCGGTGCCCAGCACAAAGTGAGTATTCCACAACTGTTTTTGAGGTGACTTACTGACACTATGTATTTTCTTAAATTTAAAAAATTTTAGTTATTGTGTCCTGAATAACTGGTGTCTCTAAGTCTTATTTCTCCTTGACTCTAATCCCTCCATCAGATCAGTGTCGCTAAGACACTCCTGAGGAAACCCTTCCAGTCAAAACATATTAGTGGGCAAATGATAAAAGGCCTAGCATTCCAGATCCCCACCCCATGGCCCGGTTGCTGTCTACGTTCAAGCTTTATGCTGGCCGAGCCAATACCCCAGACGTGACATCTCACCTGTGTGGCGTGAAAAGGATATGGAACCTGTAAACCTGGGTCTGGACCTCAGCTCTAGGAAACTTTCAGCTACTCAAAACCACAATAAACCTGATGAATTCTTCTAGTAGGGATGGATACTAGTAGCACATCTTTACCTAAGTCATTCATATCTAATGAACCTGTTCTGAGGGTCAAATGCAATGTTTCTTCAACCAGCAGTAAACCGCATAGCCCTTTACAAATGCAAACACACATCAGCACCTCCCACACTCTGATGCACAGTTGGATTCCCAAGGCTGGGGAGGAACCTGGGAGTCTGCCCCTCTAACGAGCTCTGCTGAGGTCAAGGTTGCTTGCTGGTCTAGGCCACACTAGGTGTAGCAAGGGTATACGTCATTTCCTCTTCTACACCTTTTCCAATTTTATGTTTTTCCACCTCGAATGACCCATTCTCCCTAAACCCAAGCTTCAAAGGTCAGCTCAAGATCAGCCCTCTTTCTGCAGTCAATGAACCACTCTAGACCGCCCTACTGTCTCCCTTCTTAGTCAGGAATGTGCAATGCCTGCACGGTTTACTGCGGGATCTTATTTTGCATCACTATTTAACAGTGTAGATATAGTTAACGATCTGATTTCCTAACGATCTGTCCTCTCCTGAAGGAAAAAAACTCTAAATTATACCTCTATATGCTTTCAAGACACCCAAGAGTCTGTGATATTTTAACTAATTCCTTGCAGAATGGTGCAAGGGGAAAAAAAGGATAATAGATTAAAAACCAGGAATTCTGGAACTTAATCTTGGTTCCGACCACTAATTAAGACTTTTGGACACATTATTTAACCTGCATCTGTTCCTTTCTCTCTCCCAAATTAAATGGAAATACCACCAACTGACCACCTTCCTTCTGTTACTTCAGTTTAATTTTTAAAAAATTTTAGTGAGTACCAACACTTGACAA